TGTTAAGAGCAGTAAAAGAAATTCGCAGAGAAAAAACAGTTGTTCCGACTTCTGAAATCTCAAAAGTATGTGTTCACATGCTATGTGATGAAGGTGTCAGTTACTTATGCGTGGTACCTAATCTCTACTACTATTAATCTATTCTTCGTAAATCACATTAATATAAATTTAACGTTGCATTTATTTTTTCATTATTAGCCTTTTCTAAGTTTTTATAATCTTTTTCATGGAGGAAAGAAACATACATTTAATCAGTTCTTTTGACACTACACACAATAATATTAATAGAAATAAAATGACGGTTACATAATTTTACACGTGTAAAATTATTAATTAAAACAAAAAAAAATGAATAAAAAATTTTAATAATCAATACATAACTTTTTCAAAATTAAGATATATTATTTAAAAATCAATATGTAAAATAGAATTTTTCTGATTTTGTTTACAACTGAAACCATTATAATGTGATTTACTTTAGTATGTCTGAGCATATTATACATATAATAAATAGTGTTACAAAAAGTAGTTTCAAAGTAATTTCAAACAAAACACCAATATTCAGTGCCGTGGTTTCCCGTATGGAAAGGTTTGCTGGAAAATTACTTTTGGAAGTGGTTTCCGGCTTTCCTCCGCAAGAGTTCCGATATTTTTCAAAATATCTGACTGAAGTTTTTAGAAAAAAATCCGTAAACATTTACTGATCAGTTATTGCATAATTTTCTAAGCATCTTAACTTTATTGAATTCATACGTTCAATAACAAAAGTAATAATTTTCAAAATATTATTTTTTTACATCCTTGTAACTTTTGCCTAAGTAGCACGTACAGTAGAGTGCAACGATGCTTTTCCAATCATTATCAATTAATTTTGTCAATTATATTTTTAAAATATGTAAATATTCTTCAGCGAAACGTCAAAGAAGATAATTATATATGAAAATATAATAATCGTTTGGTTGAATTGGTTCATTGAACACTACCTCAATTTTTCAAATTTAAAAGTTAAATCTCATGAACATGTAATGATGTGAATACCATGTATAAATATATATAACACGTAATTAGCAACTTCGCGCTTTTCGAATTCATTAAAATTACCAAAAATAGCTTAATTCTGGTAATTTTTTCACCATAAATGTCACTAATTATTAAATTATTCAAAAGTATACCATAATATCTCTATTATAGAAATGTCAATTATTTTAAAGAAATTTTCAATGAAAAGAGAAAATAAAATCTAAAATAAAAAAAGTTTTTCCGAAATACATTAATATAGCACACATCGCACATGCGCGCAAATTGTAATTCCACAACCGTAGTCTGGTGCAGATAATAGACAGTAAATACTTTGCTTATTAATTGTAATATTGCAATATTATACCATTTTTAGAATTTAGAAATGAATTTCTTTTTTGAAATTTAATTAATGTTAATGAAAATTTGTTTATATTTTGAGGCAATTCATGAATTCAGCAAATTTAATTAAGCAAAACAATCAATAAGCAAAGTAATAAGCGATTTTCGTTCAAAGTAAAGCGTTTAAAAATGCATATTCTACAATTATTAAAATAACTTAATCCACATTTTTATGAACTTGAGAGGTTTTTGGATTATTAATCTTGTAAATTATGTTTTTAGCTATTAATGTCTTCAATTTAAAATTCATTTAGATATACCTTATATTTTTCAAAACATAACCATATTTATTGTTATTGTTGTATGATTTGTTATTTGAAAATAAAATTATTTATCAAATAAATTATTAACTGTGGTTACTTTGCGTTATACTCAGTTTATTTTCAATTCGTACAACTTTTGAAATCATATATTTTGTGACTTATATTAAAAAATAGGGTAGAGTGAAAAAGCCACTTAAAATTTTCGTTTTTAACCATAAAATCATTCATTTCTAATTTTTCTTTCAAATTTCGAATCGCCTCTAAAAATTTAGTTTTTTAACTGAAAAATTATTGTGGAAAATTGTTCATAGCTGAAAAAATGACAGAGTTAGATTTGTTTTAAAAAAATGCAAGTGGCTTTTTTATCACACTTTACTCTAAATTATTAAAAAAAATACGAAAATAAATAATACTTATATAAATAATTTACAATAAGAAAAATTATTAATTTGCACCAAGTTTTCTTCATTTAACTTACTTTTGATAAATACTAGCATAAAATTAAACAAAATACTCCATATTTTTCATAAGTTCAGAAATTCTGTTAAAAGTTTTAATGTGTAAATTTTTAAAAAAGAACTTTTTAATAATGAAATAACACTTTATACGCTGACCAGAGACAAATTAAATGTAATAAAGAATTCATAAATATTAAAAATATAAAAATTTGAATTTAACTTACAATTATTCACATTAAATTAGAAAAATTAAAGTTGTCAATCGATGAAAGCTCATAGTGTACGTAATACATAATTAAACTAATAATTAATTTAAAAATTTTTAATACTGTGCATCGCAAAACGACGTGGGAAACTAAATCGGAATCGACATCGGAAACGACACCGGAAACGATTTCGTATCCGCTATCAAATTACGACATCATTTCCGGTATCGGAAATGATGACAGTCACGATCCCGCTTCCGATGTAGTTTCTGACGTCTCTTACGATGTAGCTTACGATGACGTTTCCGATGACGGTTTTTTCAATAGGGTTTTGCCGTGAAAAAGATTTGTGTTTGAAATAACCTCCCTAAATTCGAATTTTCTTTATGTAAATACATACCGTTAAACAGCTTGACGTTGCAGTTCTTTTGTTGTTTTTATTACCAACTAAAAATTTTTTTTAAATTCACTTGGTGCTGATAAGTGGGTGCCAGTTTCTGTTTAATAAATTTATATATCTAATGATCAATTATATAGAAAGAAAACAAGTCTTATATAATATTAATCTTTAAGAGTACCTACGGTAATAACTAGAAAAAAGATTCCTTATAAAACAAGTGTTTCTCGAAAGCTATAACAGACAATCATGTATTTCTTTCGAAATATTCAATTTTTTGTGTTTTGGTCTACCATATTGTATTATTATTATATATTTTACAAATTTTTACATGAAAACTTATAGATCTTAAAATATTCGAAATTTAAGTGTGAAATTTTTTGTGAAACTTTTTTAAAGCTTCATTCTTTTGATTAAAAAGAAAACAAATTCCTCGATAAATTCAATTTTTTCTAGTTTTTACCGCACGATCTTCGTAAAGAAAGAAAGAAAGAAAGATGAGTATCTAACCAAATTTAAATTTAAGCATACATTTTACATGAAGTCATCCAAGTGGAAGATACAACTACTGAAGAAGATTTTTACCTCATTCACATTACGGCTCTGAGGATTTCTGTTTGATTTTTATTTTTCCTGCCTATGGTACCAGTGAATTTTAAGTACTCGAAACCGAGACTGAGGTTCAAACTTCCAATTCTGACGACGGGGACAACGATAATGAGAACTGTGTGTAACCTTTGGAATCAGAAGGTGTCGAATCAACGGGGTATTTATTTGGCTGTGCAAAACACGCTGTTTTAAGTAATGTTCGGAAAACAGCGAAAATTCTTGTTAAAACGGGCGACTTGAGTAGAAATAATATCACGAAAATCCAAGGAAGTATTAGAGGTGTTCTCTTTCCAAGTTTCTTTGCCAGTTGTACAACACCAAGTAGCGTGATTGTATATAAAAATTGTTCGGATGATAGATTCTCGAGAGTTTTTCAACTATTGCGCTGCAGGCATCGTTACTTAAGTTCGCTACTTGATACAAATATAATGAAAAATACCTTGAGTATTGGGCGTACAGTGGAAAATTCGAAAAAGATCTCTGCAAAGCCAGAGATCTTCAAACGACATTTCTCGTTTCCGTTTTCACATCTAATTACGTCGTTGCTCTCTGCAACATTCTAGCCGCCAAGGACGGAAAAGTTGTTTTAAATTGTAGCGATGAAATTACAAATCGACGATCCATATGCCGAAACTTTGAGTTCCAATGAGATTCTCACATCGCAAATCAAACCAAAGAAAACCTTCAATCACGAGAAAACAAAGAATCTATTGTGCCTTTTTTGGAACCAAGTAAAGATCAAATCGATGATTCGAATGGGGAAAATATCAAGAACACGATTCACATTTCATGAAGTTTAAATTACAAGTACACTTGTGTGAAAATTTTTAAATTTTTTTGCTTGGTTCTTTAGAAAAGTGAAACTAGTCAATTTGTAAGGAATCTTCTCTCAAGATTTCGCATCTTTGAATTTTTGTGATACAATTAATTTTTCTCAAAATGGAAAGTTTGCAGCTAATTTAGTTTCTTTTTTTTAAAGTAAAGTAAAGAGTGGAATGTGATAAGAGTAAACCTTGCCTGAATTATACGACTCTGTGATAATCTGTGATAATCTCCAGATTAAAATAGAAGATTAAAAAAAATGTTTTTAAGGAATATGAGCGAGGATCTGAATACTTAAATTCTACGTGAAAGGAGTTTCATTTCTTACGATTAATGTGCATTTATTGATAAGTTTTTTAATTTAGTTTTTGCTTCAATACAGAAGTTAATGTCATGCTTTTCGAATATCGTAGCATTTTATAATTTTCTGAGGCATTGCTAATGGATATAATATAAATTTAAATTATTCTCGATTGCTGCAACTTGTGAAAATTTTATTTTGCCTATTTATCGCAAGTTTACCGAATAATTTTGTTTTTAGCAATGTATTTATTTTTCATGAGTGCGCATACACTGCATTTGAAATAGTTGTGCGCCTTGTTTTATGTTTGCAAAAATTTAAAAATTTACGTTTTACATTAACGATTCACTTTTTCATGATTTTTTTCACAATTCACGTCTTTTTGAAAATAAGAATTCACTTAGGTCTCACTTGAAGGCTCCAATGTTACACAATGACAATACAAAATGAAACCTATATATGAAAAACTTCGTTAATATATAGATTCCTCGAAATTTATGTGTCTTTCTTATAGGAACATCGCATATATTTTGAACACATTTTTTTCCATGCTATTAAGAGAACTTATAAACAAATCAGAAAGCAAATCTTATACAATAATCATAAATTTACGACTACTTTTTACCAAACTAATATTCATATATATCACATTTTTTTACTACATTACCCCTAACATTTGGCTACAAAAATTGCTTTCACTTTGGTTCTGATAAGGGTATTGTATATATTAAATCTTAAAGAAATATACGTATAACTTACAGTCGAAACTGCTCTGAGATAATTAATTTCAACAAAACCTTATTTTAAAACTTCTTATCGTAGATAATAATATATTACATTTTAGTAATATAGGAACAACGCATATATTTTGAACATATTTTTTTCCACGCTTTTAAGAGAACTTATAAACAAATCAAATAGCAAATCTTATACAATAATCACAAATCCACGACTATTTTTTACCAAACTAATATTCACATAAACAAAAATTTTTTTATTAAATTACCCTTAACATTTGGCTACGAAAATTGCTTTCACTTTGGTTCTCATAAAGGCATTATATATTTATATTAAAAAGTATGTGAAATTAAAAATTTTTTAAAATGAAAATAAAAGAACTTGTTGGTCATCTTTACTGGTCATCTTTACTCATTTCTTCCAAAACGACATTGTTGACAAGGACTAATATTTTTGCTTCCAACTCTTGTCTTTTCTTTTTAGATAAAGTGTCCAGTTGAGAAGAAATGTAATTTATAAACGTCGAATTATCATTACCTGGTGCTTGGTTCTCTTTATCGCTCTTATTTTTATCGAGTATCTTTTCTGCGACTTTGGTTCGTGACACTAAAGTGGTTTTTATATCCTCGTTATTTTCGGTTTTTATTTTTATTTTTTTTCTAGATGGTGGTTTATCATTCTTCGATCGTTTATTGCTGATATCTCTAAAAGAGTAAACTAAAAAATATATTGCAATAATATTTTTACGTTCGTTGACAATAATAAACTTCCAAAAAAATCTTGTGACAATTTTGAACAAAGGTATGTTAAGAAGCAAAGAAACAATTCTTCTCTTGTACATGCAGAATTGAAAGTTTAGGAAAAGAATTTTCCCTGTTGTTCTTGAATTTTCATTTGTCCAAAATGGTCATAATTTTTTTTTTAAATTTAAAACACAAAGCTCTTCTCATACAGGGTTGAAAGAATTAGTTTCCTTATTTATCTGCTATTCTTCTGTTATTAAAAAAAAATTTCTATCACACAAATGTTATTGGAGATAATCAATTCTAATATAAATTTAATAATAAATTATTGAAACATTTTCTCAGAGTATTGTATCATATTTAACTCAAAATTGTTAACAAAATACATACTTTTCATTTTTTGCACCCGAAAAACCTGGTGATTTTTCATTAAAATTATTTTGCGTTTTTGTCTTTCGAAGATGCGGTTCCAGAAACGACATTTCCTTAAAATAAGGAAATTTCTTTCTTGATGAAGAGCCACTTCCACTTGTGGATTCTGCATCTGACAATCTTTTTTCTCTACAATACTTATCTTTTAAATCCTTCCATTTCTGTTGAACACTTGCAGCTAGAAACATATATTTAATAATATTTAATTACATAAATATATCATAAATTTTATTAATAGGCCATATTTCATTATATTTCACTGAAAGTTGTTGCGGCCTATATTTTAGAAAAATTTAATAATTTGTAAAAATGATTTAGGACATCAGTGTAATTCATTTTTGGCAAATATTTGATTTAATTTCTTTATTTACGCTGGTATTTTCATTCCAAAGTTGAGTTGCAATGAAAAAAGGAAGATATTTAAAATATTTTTACTGAATACATATAATGACTTTTTAATTTTATAGTGTAGAAATATAAAATATTTTAACTTGAAAGTTTAAGTTTTCGGGATTTTATATGATTTTGAACAATAATATCTCCTCAAGTGATAACTGAAAAAATTCAAATATTTTTTTAATCTTCAAGTTAAATCGTTTTCTTTATCCTATTAAATTTTGGCGATAGAGAACGAACTATTCTTCGAGTTTTTTTTAATTTGAAAAGTATTTATAAAAAAGAAATTTTCAGGTTTATAAATACAAATAGATTTTTAATAAATTTTAAATGAATAGTGATGCAATTCATTTCTGTTTTACAAAACTACTTCCATTTTAACCTGAAAAATTTTATTAAATTTTCACACCTGTAAATATACACTTGTTGCCGTGCAACTCAACTTAAAAATTTTAAATTCTAAGGTTAATAAAAAAATTTCATAAAATAATTGCCAAAAATGAATTTTACGGATATTAAAAATTATGATTACAAATTATCAGATTTTCTAATAGGCCGCAATAACTTTGGGTGAAATATAATGGAATGACTCTAATATAAATATTTTTTTACATACGATGGCTATTAAGTATGTTAGCAATTTCCTGCCAAGATGTTTCCTTCATTCCTAAGTCTTTGACGTCCTTAGACGATCTTTCATAAAGGCAAGGATAACCCCTAACCAAATCGATCAGCATTTCGTCGTCACCTCTATCGTCATAAAACTCATCCTCATAATCCGAAAAATCCTGAATTTCAGCCATGATTTCTGCAAAAAATCAATTACAAAAATTTTGCACATTTTATTCAAAAAATTATAAAAGATATTGGCGTCTTTTGTAATAAATTTAATAGTCATGGATTTAATTTTTGATACGGAACAAAAATAAAATAATAAATCAAAATAAACATCTTACATGACCAAAATAATTCATGACCTGAAATATACTTAAATTTGTATCAGTAACCATTTATTACCGGAAAAATTGTTACAAGGTTGTAGTATACGCTTCACATTTTAAAATACATTGAAATAGATTTTATTAAAAAAAAAAGAAATTTCGTATCTTTCTTCAATTTTCAATATACGGCAGACTAGAAGTAAGCTACAGAATTTGAAATCAATTTTTTATATTTTAATTTCTTTTCTTTCAGCTTATACAAAAAATTACAATTTTTTAAAAATATGTATATGTTTACAAAATATTAAAATAAATACGGTTAGAGAGAATGTTTCAACGATATGAATAAAATAAGTTATATTGATTACAAAAACGAAAATGTCCAAAAAAATATTATTTAACGAAAGATTTTGACTTATTATTTTTTTGAAAAGTACATAATTAAATCTAATAAAACTGTTTGCAATTAATTTGTATTATAATTTTTTTATGCGTAACAAATAGTTAAAAACAATTTTTAATTTTGAGGTTACGACAGCGTCGCGAAAGTCGAATTCCTTTTTAAATGGAAATTTATTTAATTATATGGTTTATATAATGCTTGCTATAAATACTTACTTTTACTTTCTTCCTCCCGAATAAATTTTGGGTTAAAATCTTTGTCGTCTTTATAGTATTTATACTTAAAATAAGAATGATCTCCGCCAGTTGACATCAAATTTTCCAGGTTATGGTGCCTTCAACAAATGTTCGCGAACGTTTCAACGCACAATTAAACTTCGGATTCGCGAACGTCAACTTTCATCTTTTTAGATGTCAGTAATTTTCTTGGCGACCTATTTGGAATTGATATAAGATCTTCTGAGTACTCCACACACCTATTAGCCAGTTTCTGACGAGTCCATATGAAAGTCGCTAAGTTTTTCAGATAAAGTGAATCACTCTTTTCTTTTTGTATTAATTTTTAAGATTCATGTTTGATAAAAACATCGTGGCCCAAATGAATCTTTTCAACCTACGATAGTAAGATAAGTAAATGTTACTTTATAATTAGTGTTTCAATAATTTCTTGCTAACAGCAATATTTGCTCATTTAGAACATATGAACCATTTCATAATATTATAACTATTTAAATTTTATAATTATTCTAAATAAATTGTTTTATTTTTTTCAAAATAGCCATAGAAGTACGTGAACGAAAAGTTTATGTTTACCTTCCTATTATTTTCAGTTCTTATTGAAACAATAGCAAACTTTTCTAGTTCATCATTTTGTTCATTAACGTCATTATCGGAACCACCTAAAAAATTACCATTATTAATATGGATGATTTCATATTAAGTTTTCTAGTCATAAATTTAACGCTTACAATTATAGTGGGGTTATTACAATTTTAAAAATGGCATTTTTAAATGCATAATATTATAATTAAATTTTATGAGAGGATGTTCAAAGGAGGAAATATTTTAGAAACAATGATTTAATATATTTTAAAAAAAACAATTTTAGTCAGTAATAATATATAAGCAATCTCAAAACATATGGCTAGTGATTTTTAAATGTTTAACTCTGCTTTTTGGAATTGAGGCTCCCGATGATGTAGAGCGCCCAACGCTCAGACGGTTACTCTAATGGTAGTCCGGTAGCAGTGAGCGCCTCTGGGCCGCTTACTCCTACCCGACTACCATTAGAGCGGCCGTCCGAGCGTCAGGCACGTTATTTTATCGGGAGCCTCAATTGGTGTAGTGTAGAGAAGTTGTTAGAATTTGAGAGAAGGATGCAGATTAAAGGCGTAGAGCTGGAAGGAGAAGGGGGAGTGGCTGAGAGATTAAAAAGGCTGAAGGCGGTAATAGAAGGAGTTAGAGAAGAGATGAAGGGAGTGGGAGTTAAAAATGAGAGAAAAGGGTGGTGGGATGAGGAGTGTGAAAGAAGCAGAGAGGAGATGAGGGGATATATAAGGGAATGGAGGAGAGGGAGGATGGAGAGGAAGGAGTACAACTGGAAGCATAAGAGGCATGAGAAGCTGGTGAAAAGGAAAAGAGAGATTCTTGGAAGAGGTAGAGAAGGCGCTAGAAGAAGGTAGAGAATGGGAGGTGATTAATAGGGAAAGAGGTAAGGGAAAGGGGGTGAACAGGGAGATCAAGATGGAGGATTGGACGGAGTATTTCAAGGGATTAAGTGGGGGAATGGATAATAGAAAAAGAGGAGAAGGGAGAAGAAGGGGTAGGGAGATGGAGATGGGTGGAATAAGTAGGGACGAGGTGGATGCAGCAATAGGAAGATTAAAGAAGAACAAGGCAACAGGAGGAGATGGGATAGAAGGAGAAAGTTTAAAATATGGTGGGGAGGCTGTAAGGGAGGAATTGTGGCAAATAACACAGCCCCACAAAAAAAAAAGTGTCATGTACTTTTGACCGGAATACCCTAACCCTATGTATTTTGACGCGCTGAACACGAATCCGAAGTCCGTTTTGCTCTATCACATCAGGATTTTTTTCTAACCTAAAAAAACATGTCGGATTTTGAGAAGTAGGCGATTTTTTTAAAAATTGATGTATTAACTTCAAACTTGGTATCTGGGGTTTTTTTGTGTCGCTGATTACGAATCTGATGTCAGATTTCCGAAATTCGATATGTCTGATTCAATATTAAGGAATTATTTTTAAAAAATTGTCAGATTATTATGAAATTTGGTATCTACAGGTTTTCTAAGTTGCTGACAAGTAACACTAGGGAAGTGCCATACGCCGATTTTTCTGAAACATGGCAATTTTGTAGTTTTTTGAAAACAATTTGACACGTATGTTTTGTTTTTCCCCAAAAGCTGATTTATGGGAGGAAAATACACCTTGAATTTTTTTTTGGTAGGGGGACAATATTTTACGAAATTTTTCAAAAATTAATGTGCAATAGTGTATCTGGGGGTTTTTTGGGTCACTGATTACAAATCTGATGTCAGATTTCAAAAATTCAAAATGGCATATCCAACATGGACTTCTATCGGCCAGATTAGATACGCCATTATCAATTTTTGAAAACTGACATCAGATTCGTAATCAGCGACCCAAAAAACCCCTAGATACCAAGTTTGAAGTAAATCTTAAAATTTTTTCAAATTCGTCCGCCATATTGGATCCGACATTTTTGATTTTGAAAATCTAACTTCAGATTCGTAATCAGCGACCCAAAAAACCCCTAGATACCAAGTTTGAAGTAAATCTTAAAATTTTTTCAAAATTCGTCCGCCATATTGGATCCGCCATTTTTGATTTTGAAAATCTAACTTCAGATTCGTAATCAGCGACACAAAAAACTCCCAGATACCAAGTTTGAAGTTAATACATCAATTTTCAAAAAAATCGCCTACTTCTCAAAATCCGACATGTTTTTTTAGGTTAGAAAAAAATCCTGACGTGATAGAGCAAAACGGACTTCGGATTCGTGTTCAGCGCGTCAAAATACATAGGGTTAAGGTATTCCGGTCAAAAGTACATGACACTTTTTTTTTTGTGGGGCTGTGTAATGAACAAGGTATGGGAAGGTGAAGGTTGGCCGGAAGAGTGGAAGACTGGCTGGATAGTGCCAATAGTAAAGAAGGGTAGTGGGAGGAAGGTGGAGGATTATAGAGGTGTAACGCTGATGCCGGTGGGATACAAAGTTTACGCTGAGATTCTCAGGAAGAGATTGGAGGACAGGGTGGAAGATTTGGGATGTATTCCTCACAACCAGACCGGATTCAGGAAGGGCATGGGTACAGTGGACAACATTTATGTTTTGAATTATCTGGTGAGCAGGAATCTTCGAAAGGAAAAATGGAAGTTGGTATTTTTGTTCGTGGACCTGAAGGCAGCGTTCCCATCGGTGAATAGGAGGGTGTTATGGAGGGTTTTAGAAAAATTGGGGCTTGAGCAGAGTTTAATTGAAAGAGTGAAGGAGTGCTACGAGGAGACAAGAGAAAGGGTGAAAATAGGGAAGGAATTAGGGAAGGATTTTTGGTTGGGGAGGGGGTTGAGGCAGGGGTGTCCGTTGAGCCCTGTTTTATTCAACTTGTTGATGGCCGACTTGGAGGAGAGAAGGAGAGGGAAGGGGGGAATTATTTTAGGGAAGGGAAGAGTGTATACCCTAGCGTATGCAGATGATGTGGTATTAATGGTTGAGGAGGATAGTGGTTTGAGATTGTTGATGAGAGAGTTTGAGTTGTATGTGAGAGAAAGAGATTTATGGGTAAATGTGGAAAAAACGAAAGTCATGAGATTTAGAAAGAAAAGAGGGAGGGATAAGGAAGTATGGAGTATGAATGGGAAAAGCGTGGAGGAAGTGAGTGAATTTTGTCATTTGGGATATTGGTTTAAATGGAATGGGAGTCAGGATTTGAATGTGAGTAAGAGGATTGAGAAAGTGGGGAGAGTCATGAAGCAAGTATGGGGGATTGGGGAAAAAAGATTTAAGAATGATTGGAGAAAGAGAATTTGGTTGTTTGAAGTGCTGGTATGGTCGGTTATAAGTTATGGGGTCGAGATATGGGGATGGAGAGAGAGTGAGAAATTGGGAAGATTGTATGAGAGGTTTCTGAGATGGACCATGGGAGTGGATGAGAACTGTCCAGGGTATATGCTAAGGGAGGAATTGGGTAGGGAAAAGCTGGTCATAAGGCAGAGAAGAAGAGCGATAGGGTTAGAGGAAAAGCTAAAGCAGGGGAAGGGGAGTTGGGTGGCATAGGCGTGTTGGGCTTTGGTGAAAGAAGGAGTAAGGAGAGGAAGGAAGGATGTATCGGGATGGGAGAGAGGGAGAAGAGGGGCTATGGAGGAAGGAAGAAGATGGAGTGAAGTGGAAGGAGATGTAAAGGATGGTTGGAGTAGGAAGGATAAGCAGCAAAGGTGGGAAAGGATAGTTGGATCGCGATACAATAGATGGTACAGGATGGTGAAAGGGGAAGGGATCCCGGGGTATCTAGAGAAGAAAAAGAAATATGAAAAATGGAATAGGGTGTGCAGGTTCAGAATGGGTGAAGGTATGAAAGAATGTAAGTATTGGATGGATGAGTTTGATAAAAAATGTAGAATATGTGGGTATGAAAGAGAGAGCTGGGCGCATGTGTTGGATAGATGTGTGGGAGGAATGGATGAGGGAAAAGGAGTGGGGGAAAGAGTATGCTGGATTTTAGAAGAGAATGGACAGGGTGAAAAGTGGATGAAAGGTTTAGAGAGAATGAGAAGAACCCTGCGTATGCAGAGAGAGTAAATAAATTTAAAAAAAAAATTTTTTTAATTTTTGAACTAACAACGGATTCAACAACTTGATCAGCAACCTCACAAACATTCCAGATGCAAATTTTATGAGATTAAATCTTTTAGCGTAATTATTTGTTATGCATAATGTGTTTGCCATTTTGAATTTCAATAACCGGCACAGAAAAATTTTGAATGTCAATACAAATTTTGTACTAGCTTTTAAGTTTGTAGAAAGTCAATAGTATCCTCACGAAGGCTGAAACCAAATTTGATCTTCTGGCTAGGAAGTTATGTGGCGAATTAGTAACCATATAGTGCCAATAAAAAAAATTTGCCCAATTACAGACAATAGGAAGAGTAACACGAATCTAAACAGAACAATTTTTTGCTTCGAGTTTCGGGTGCGAAACAGCTACACAGCCCATTTTTACTCTCAACGATTTGACGCCGCAACATCGACAATATCTGACTGGCACATCCTGCACGTGTTCAACGTCGTCATGAATTCCATCTTTACCAAATCTAAACCATCACTAAAAGAAGATCATGAAACTTCCTTGCAAACTCCAACCCTCCTCTCCTTCTTGCTGCGATCAGTCTGACACCGTCAGACGCCATAGTTCCTGAGTAGCATCGGACCATCCATAATTGAAGGGTAGAATGACAAAAGGGGTCAAGCGCCAATTTATCGAAAATGAGGTTTTTGAATAAAAAAACCAAGAAAATTCATTTACACATTTCTGTAGAAGGATTTCCTTTTTTATTGCGTATTTAAATGAGTTTTTAATAAGAATTAAATTAATAAAATAGCCTCAAATTTACTTTATTGCAACCTGATTGAAAAACAAAAGAAAGTAGTGAGTCAATAATATTATGCATAACTTAACAAATTTAAAAACATTGCTTTTTACAAATCGAAAATGCCTCGCAGATGCGGAAAAAATCTATTAATAAAAAAGATATTGTTAAAAAGAAACGATATGAAGGTGAAATGTTTTTATGAATTTCATTCTTCATATTTTTATCCATCTGTTCAATTTTGATCAAAAATATTATTTTTTTAGGTTTTATTTTAATATTTTATTTTAATTTTATTTTAATTTTATTTTAATAATCTTTTAATTAATAAAATTAATAATAATAATAATACATTTTCAATTTTAAACAATTTTAAAATCATTTTGTTATTAATTTTTAAATATTTTTATGATTATACTAAGTGAACAATTGAATTTAAAGATGAAAGTATTGCTCAATTCCAAAGCAAGCAATTAATTCGTAATTTTCTTGAAAACAAACAATTTTTTAAAGGAATTTTTTTTTCTATTCATTTCGTCGATTCCATAGAATGAAACTAATTTTCCAGTTTTTCTTTAAACTGTATATTTTTTTTATATTTAATGCTTAAAGAAAATGTGCGCAGTTGATATAACCTCAAGGCACCACAGTTTTTTTTAATTTTATCGTTAATATGTAGGTTTATTTCAACAAATTGTTGTTTATTTATTAAAACATACTAATATATCGAAACGGTTTTCTCAGTTTTTTTTAAATGACCTGAAAAATTTTTAAAAATGTTTTTTTTACTTCCTGTAAAAACAGTGAATTGGCGCTTGACCCCTTTTGTCATTCTACCCTTCAATTCCAGGCAATAGTTTTTGGAGAAATCACGAATGCTATGAGAATCATGCCAACATAACGGCGGTGTTAGACAGAGGAATCGTATTTATTTTAACCGGCATAGATTCAGATAGTCGTGGCCATATATGCCTACACATTTCTGTCCTTTTCTTTATTATCTGTTTCCATGGTAATGTGAATAAGAATACGACAAAAATGAGTAAGCATATCTGGCCGGAAGTGTATATACCAAAAATCTAGCAGCATTAAAGTGACAATACCATAGAGTAAGAACATTATGCAATTTTGCAAAGAAGAATCATAAGAAATGTCATGGAAGAATTATGAGATAAAGAAAGAAATTATATGAGAAAAGGTCAGAGCAGAGTTGCCAATGACCCTACCTAAAAGCTACTGCGCTTGCGCTACGACAACTCTCTTATAGTTCGAAAAAAGCGCGCTTATTTAAAATGCTTAATAATAAGAAAACGTTAATAAAGCAATATAAAAATATTTTCACTATTGAATTTATTTTTTTTGTTAATTATATTGCTTCTTAATAAAAAAAATATTAATTTACTTAATGTACTTAAGTGTGTAAAAATAGTAATAATAATAATTATTGTAATTTTATTATATTTTTACACACATAAGTACATAAAGTAAATTAATATTTTTTTAATTAAGAAGCAATATAATGACCAAAAAAAATAAATTCAATCGTGAAAATATTTTTATATTGCTTTATTAACGTTTTCTTATTATTAAGCATTTTATATAAGCGCGCTTTTTTCGACCTATAAGAGAGTTGCCGTAGCGCAAGCGCAGTGGCGTTTAGGTAGGGTCATTGGCAACTTTGGGTCAGAGTTTGTGTGGTTTGTCTTTTTTTAAATATACCAGAAAATTCGTCAATTCAATTAAAAGTTGTCGAATTTTTTAGTAGGTTGAAAGTCACATGACGTAGGGCACTGAACGAGTTTGGTTCAAGAAAGGAACTCTCACTGATCTATAGGTACCATGACATTCAGAAATCAGGGGAAATGAAAGCGGATGTCTTGGATTAAATTGGGTCCCAGAGAAGACCCGGTACCATGATAACTCTAGTATAGAAAGAGCAATAGGCGATGGTGATTAAGAGAATCATAGAATTTTAAAATCAGAGAAGAAGTAAAAGAGAGTATAGGTTAGAATCAGGATGAAAATACACACTAAGGCTCTGCAGCAATTAAAACTCAACAGAACCTTTGTGAGAATTTTTAACACTCAATCATGTCAGTCAGAACTGTGGTTTATTTGATCACGAGGCATAGCTTTCTCAACTATCAAGACAAAATATGTAGACAGGTTTATCTAAGTGTAAAATATAGTTATGTAGCTATCAATGTTGAGGTCAAGTATTTGTTGAACCAGAATGACATTGAAACCAAAGTGAATTTTTTTCTCTAGAATTCTGGACGACAGGTTTACGAGTGGATTCGTATGTTTTGAAGTAATTAGAGGGATAGGTTTCTACTTAAAGACCTAGTCTTGAAATAGGAAATCTCAACTTAAACTTACTTACACAGAAAAAAACTGAACTCAAAATTAGTCGCGGAGGTGGCTCATTTTGATGTGCAACAAAAATGAGTCGGGTTGGTGGCGCCACCGTCTATGTCGTTTAGTATTGACTCATTATGAGTTGCAACAAAAATGAGCTCAGGTTTTTTCTGTGTAAAGTAGATTAGATTAGAAGCTCATTTTAAATTTTATTTTTCAAAAAAAAATTTTTTGAAACAGATGAAAATAAAAAACTTTGATCAATTAACGTTCTGAGGAATTTTATGCTGATAATTTTTGTAAAATAATTTAAAAAAGCAGCTACCAAGTTTAATGATGAATTTTTTGTGCTCATTTTTTTGTGTTTTCTCTTTTAAAAAATAAAACTCAAAAATGGTATTTTTCCAAAGTTTTAAATTTTGAAAATTTTGATAACTTATTAATTTTAGGATGTATAAGGCTCAAAATTAGGTCAATGGATTCGATTTTAAATGCTCTAAGTTTATTATTATACTTTGAAAGCCACAGAAAGATGTTTCACCAATTATAGTAAGAAATTCAGGTCTTGAAACGTTCTATAACCTGTAACAAAAATATCTGTGCGTGTCAAACATTTTTCAAAAGTTATGAGCAAAAAACTTATTGTGTTTTGAAATTTTAAAATGTAAATAACTTTGGATAGAATAATGGTAAAATGTTCGCGACACTCATACACACACATCATTTTTTAAAAATTCGATCTTTGCACTTTTGAGGTCAGAAAAACATAAAGGTAGTGCTAGTCTTGATTGAGCATATTTAAACTTATTTCCAACTAAAAAAAATAATCATACCAGAGTGTTCTGAATCCATTTTATATCGTTTTGAAGCTTTGCGAAACGTAAGACTAGATTGCGAATTTGTGTGCCTCTTTTTCTTTTTTAACTGAGATGATTTGGAAGTACCGGGCTTCTCAGCAACAGAAGGCATACTATCAACTTCAATCTCTGTATCGCATTTAATATTAATTTATTATTCAATTAATATTTAATATTTGTTTCAAAAAGATAACATGGTATTTTTTAATGTAAATGATCAGTAAAATTAATGGATTATTTTTAATAGTAAAACATTTTTCTTAAAATGTAAATGAACTTTTTTCAGTATAGCCTTATATTATTTAGAAGCTTCAAATAAGTTCAATCTTCTACTTAATACTTACTTTTAGCTGTTTCACTGTACGACATTTAAGGTTTCTACGTTGTGACTTTATTTACCGTGAACATCCATTGGCTGTTTCCCTCGCTTTGTTATAAATAATATTATAAAACAAGTATATTCAGAGAATATAACCTCACTAAAATCATACAGAAAACGAGTGAATAAGACATATTGCGCGCGCATTGATTTTAACAACAGTTGGCATAAGTTATTAAAGGCATCTTTTCATACTTAACTTATGTTTCGTTTTTACATAGTAAAGTAATTTAAGTAATAGTTGAGCATGCGGTGTAAATACGGTAATTATACCTTAAATTACGCACAGAATATTGACTGAATTCAAGTAAAACGTTTTATTGTGAAGAACATTTAAATTGTGTTTAAAACATAATAATGTAACAAAACAATTAAATTTTCTAATTCAACTTTTTTAAAATTATTTCCAAACATTTACTTCTAATTAAATCTAAATTATTAAATTCTATGTTTACTAGGTTTCAATTTTAAAAATATCTACACTACCGTCCGAAATTGTACGAACTCTGCTTTTTCAACAACTATAAAACTGTTCAAATCTTCAAAAATATTAAAACTAAAAATTTACCTCTTTATTTTATTAAAGCTAATAAAATTCTCAAAGAAATGACACCTTGACAAAGAGAATATGTTAATTTTTCAATTAGATATCTAAGAAAAACCCAATTTTCAATGTTTTTACTATTTTTTTTATTTCTCTGTCAAAAATTAATATTTTTAAACGTTCTCAGGCTCATTTAAATCGTATTTTGTTATGCAATTCAAATTATATAAAACAATTCATGTACACATTCTTCCCTAGCGTATGCAAACCGTGAAAGTTGGCTCATAAAATGTCAAAGAATTTAAATTTAATTCTACAATAAAATATAATGTTTAAAAATCAAGTAAATATATCATTCTAAACTTCTCTGGTTTATGTAAGTAAATTTAAGATTTATACATTTTACTGATCATTTTTTGTCATATAAATATAATCACAATTTTTTGACATTTTATGAGCCAACTTTCACGGTTTGCATACGCTAGGGAGGAATGTGTACATGAATTGTTTTATATAATTTGAATTGCATAACAAAATACGATTTCAATGAGCCTAAGAACGTTTAAAAATATTAATTTTTGCCAGAGAAATAAAAAAAATAGTAAAAACATTGAGAATTGGGTTTTTCTTAGATATCTAATTGAAAAATTAACATATTCTCTTTGTCAAGGTGTCATTTCTTTCAGAATTTTATTAACTTTAATAAAATAAAGAGGAAAAAATTTTAGTTTTAATATTTTTGAAGATTTGAACAGTTTTATAGTTGTTGAAAAAGCAGAGTTCGCACAATTTCGGACGGTAGTGTATAATGTTTAAAAATCAAGTAAATATATCATTCTAAACTTCTCTGATTTATGTAAGTAAATTTAAGATTTATACATTTTACTGATCATTTTTTGTCATATAAATATTAATCAAAATTTTTTGACATTTTATGAGCCAACTTTCACGGTTTGCATACGCTAGGGAAGAATGTGTACATGAATTGTTTTATATAATTTGAATTGCATAACAAAATACGATTTCAATGAGCCTAAGAACGTTTAAAAATATTAATTTTTGCCAGAGAAATAAAAAAAATAGTAAAAACATTGAAAATTGGGTTTTTCTTAGATATCTAATTGAAAAATTAACATATTCTCTTTGTCAAGGTGTCATTTCTTTTAGAATTTTATTAGCTTTAATAAAATAAAGAGGAAAAAAATTTTTTTAAAAATATTTTTGAAGATTTGAACAGTTTTATAGTTGTTGAAAAAGCAGAGTTCGCACAATTTCGGACGATAGTGTAAACAAAAATTTTATAAATTGAAGAAACATTTAAAGTTTGACCAAAAAAATTCTGTAAGGGTATTAATTAAATATTCAAGAAAATTGTATTTAAGTCCTAAATGGTACTGGTTTAAAGTGCATATTATAACAAATTATCTCTTTTACTTTGAGTTTCTTAAAAAAATTAACAAAATATATTTTATAATATTATTATTATCGGATATCACAATATAAATATTAAACAGTGCTAATGTTAAATCAATCTTTTTTAACATTAATTTTGCGAAAAAAGAAAACAATTAAAATCACACCAGATTCACTTGAAGCTTTTCGAGATGGTTTTAAATTATTTCGATAATTCTTGCGTGCTTGAGAGAGTGAATGTTTTCTCTTCATTTGCTTTGGCTGACGACTACACTGCCCTGCATCGATTTTGCGAATAACATGGGACATAGTGTTTCCGAACGTATTTTTTGTGCTGAACACGAATCCGGGGTCGAAAACTTCCCATCACGTCACGTTTTCGAGAAAATAGGGTTTGAAACCCCTAAAAATAGGGTTTTTGGCCATTTTTGAAAAATTATACAGCGAAAACCTGACGTGGTACAAACTTTGCTGATATCAGAAATTAAAGGTTGGTTCATGCCCTTTCAAACGAGCCCTATTCGAAATTGATCGCACTCACCCTTAGAGCAGGGGGTGTGTTTTTGTCTAGGGGTGCACGAAAAAAATGTAAACATTAGCCAAAAATTCAAAATGAATAACAATTCAATAACTCATTTAGAATTTTTGAAATCTGACTTCAGATTCCTTATCAGCGACACCAAAAACCCCCGAGTGACCATTTTCAAGTGAATTGGATCAAATTTTTATTTTGACATCCGCCATATTGGATACGCCATTTTGAATTTTTGAAATCTGACTTCAGATTCGTAATCAGCGACCCCGAAAACCCCTTAGCTATCATGATTTATTGAATTGTTATTCATTTTGAATTTTTGGCTAATGTTTACATTTTTTTCGTGCACCCCTAGACAAAAACACACCCCCTGCTCTAAGGGTGAGTGCGATCAATTTCGAATAGGGCTCGTTTGAAAGGGCATGAACCAACCTTTAATTTGTGATATCAGCAAAGTTTGTACCACGTCAGGTTTTCGCTGTATAATTTTTCAAAAATGGCCAAAAACCCTATTTTTAGGGGTTTCAAACCCTATTTTCTCGAAAACGTGACGTGATGGGAAGTTTTCGACCCCGGATTCGTGTTCAGCACAAAAAATACGTTCGGAAACACTATGTCCCATGTTATTCGCAGAAAAAAATTTGAAATTTGCTGTGCAGTGCTATCATTCATCGAAAAATCTAAAAGTGAACAATAATGATTTCCATCTTTATTAAAACCATTAAATTTTCATAAATGATTAATGGTTGTGAAAAATTAATAATATATTACACTGGTTGACAAAGTTTTGCTACAAGAGTAAACGGTGGGCATTTTTTATAGGACTTTTGCCGTTTGTTACGGATCTGTAAGTAAATTTTTCCCATTACGTCTCAATTTTGGGAAAAACGGTGTCAAAGTGTCAAAAAATCGCATTTTTGGCACTTTTGATAGCAGTATGGAAAATAAACGCGACGTGATAAACAGCTCAAATATGGATTATATGACAGCTGAAACCTTTAACTTTAATCTCCGAAAGCAAAAAACCATGTAATGAAGCTAAAAATTATGGAGAACAGCTTTCTAACGCGTGCGCACCAAGCAGATTTTATTCCTGTGACACGGTGAGACAAATTATCAAAAACGTAGTAAAAGACAAAATATTTATTTAAATTTACTTGAAATTCCTTACTCGTGGTGGTTTTTTAGTATTCAGCGACCCCAAAAATCTTCGAGAAACGAGTTACAAGCGAATCGGATCAATTTTTTAAACTCTTCTGCCATATTGGATACGCAATATTAAATTTTGAAAAAGTAACATTGAGATTGTAATCAGTCAGCCCAAGAACCCCCGAGTATGAAGTATCTAGTGAATTTAAATTGATCTTGGTATCTTTCACCAGGTTCATTGCAATTTGTCCCATTTTGTCACTGGAAAAATATCTGCTCGTTATGCACGTGGTAAAAAACAGTTTCCACAATTTTTAGTTATTACTACATGGTTTTTTGCTTCTGGAGGTTAAATTTGCAGGTTCGAGCTCTCATTTCAGTTGTTAAACACATCACGTTTATTTTCTATGGTGCTTTGGAAAGTGAAAAAAATGTGATTTTTTGACGCTTTCATCAAATTTTCATTCAAATTGAGGCACGATGGGAAAATTTCATTTACAGATTTCTAATCTACGTCAAAAATACTATAAATAACTAGTAAAACTAATAATGGTATTTTTAATAAAAAAGAACATTTAAATAGTATTTATCATATAACATAACAAAATAATTAAGACTTTTAATAGACCTTTTCATGCTGATCATTCTGTCCTCTTCCAACTCATTCGTCATTGTATGCGCTAGATAAGGACAGAACGATCAGCATGAAAAGGTCTATTCAACTTTTTCTAAAATTATTTCCAAGTATTAATATCTAATAAATCTAAAATTATTGAATTTTATGGTTATCAAGGTTACATTCAGAAATATTTTTAAAAAAATTACAAAAAGTATACATCATCAACTTTTGACCAAAATAATGTGGTTTATATACTTTTTCTTTACATTATAAAACAAAATAAGATTATATGTTAGATGACCTTAATTAAAAATTTATATATAATTTTTTTAATTTTATTATAAAACAAATGTTATTAATTTTCTCAAAAACTCGTAAAGGTGAAAACAGATGCCGTACCCCTATGTCGCTGCTGCTGCTCGATTTTAGTATGGTCTTTGTACGG